CAGGAATGACCTTGAACGTCTATAAGGGTTAAGATTATAAGCCGACATCAGGTCCACCCTGGATAAGCGAGATGTTGATTTTTCAAATGAATAGAACCCCCCACCCAAGTCGCCCTAATGAAGAAAGATCCAACATGTCAAAAGTGAAGTAAGTTTGTGTCATGTGGGGAATATCATGTGGTGTTATTCAAAGATTATTTCCAGTTTTGCATGGCACCCCTAAACAGATGTCCTGACAAGAGAAATGAACCCCAGTTTTGTAATGGGCCCAAGGAGTTTGATGCAGAAGAGAAATTCTTCAATGGGATCCAGGTCCTATCAGTGACAAAGAGCTCTTTCTTGAGTGGGTGCTAGTGAGAGGGGTGCAACTTACACAAAATTCATCCCAAAATTAATCCCTCCTCCCATACTAGTTCCTCAACTGCACTCAGCTGCTTACGTTGAGTGAAAAAAAGTAGGTTACCCCTGGAATGACTCGATACCTGAGCAGTGAGAATACTTGTCTTCCTATAGTTCCAGCCCAGGCATATCAAAGGCGGACAAATACATTTACTACCAAAATGTGATTTGGAATGACAACGCCTGCAAACTTGACCTGCTAGGGGGCTCTAATGTCTCAGTCACGCTCAACGTCGCCGACTTGACACCATACTATGAAGAGCCTGAAGCTTCGAAAAATGAAATTGAAGCTCCCCCAAGGAGACTAACACGGGGCTTCCCGCATTTACACGAGGCGGGAGCTTCCCGCAAGGAAACAACAAATAAGCCAGTCGGCTGAACCGGCTGGCATAGTGGCCGGTCCAGGAGACCCGGTCCAGGCTTCCAAAAGAGTCGAGCATGATTATTGTGGGCTTCCTTTCATATCTACTGCACTAACCGAGCAGCTTTGGAGAGGGCGGCATTGTCGCCTGCCCTTTTCTCCTCCCTTTCTCATCGGTTTTCCTTTCCTATTTCCCACCTAGCTAGGTCTATATATATATTTTTGTTTCATAGTTTAGGGTTCAGTTTTTGTTGTGTATTGCTTTCAAATTCCTTTGTGGAGCAGTTCTCCCTGTTCTAGGGTTGTATCCGAGGAAGTGGTGGTGCTCTAGCTATATCCTACTCCAACGTGGTGTTGTGTCTTCCATTTTCATCTTCCCTACCGTTGTTTTCCTCTCCTCAACCACCTGCCTCCCCCTCCATTCCTGCAACCAACAAACCCATAACTGCAGCCTTACCTTATTGTCCAACACCTTTCTGCCACCCCAAACCACTTGCATCGTTGCTAACATAGCTACTGGCCCACCAGTCCTTGCTGCCTTCGGCCCGGGACAACAAACCTTTGTTGTTCTTGCCATTTCTACCCCAATTTCTTATTGTCGCTGCACAGGACAACCAGCCCTCTAGCTTCTCCTACAGTTTCTCAACTCATCTTTGTTGTCGCCATCCTCGCTAGCCATCCTCGCTAGCCATCCTGATCCACCTAGCCAGAGTCAATCACCCTAGAAATACACTTCAGAGGTGTTTTTTTGTGTCATTTTATGTTTTGGTGTTGTTAATTTTCGCTTGTGTCATGTTGTAACTCTACCTCTAGTTTAATAAAAGTTTGCTTTGAGTGTTTCCCTTGTTTTTCCTACTTATTCCGGTATCACCTACACTTCAATTTTTACATATATAACACCTTACCTATGAAAGGAAAGGTGTATTTCCCTTTTTAAAAGTTTAAATAGTGCTATTTTTTATGTGATATAAAAGATTTGAGTGGGTGGTATAAATGTAAAAAACAAAGTTTTTGTGTTAGATATGTTTTTACATAGGAACTAGGAACTAGGTAGTTTGTCTGTAAAACAAAAACTTTTTAGTTCTCAACCAATACGAGTAGAGAAACAAAAAACGCACGCATGCATGCATGCATGCATACATACATCCATACATACATACATATATGTACATATGTACTTCGGATCGAAATCGAGGCAAACAAAGCCAACAAAAAACTCTGCTAGGGTTTACTCCTGTCGCGTCTTCATGGCGACCCGAGTAGCCCTTGTTATCTCTACGTCGGATCGAAATCGTTGTCTGCTCCTTCGTCGTACTTCGTCGTCTGCTCGACTTCGTCTGTTCCTTCGTCGTGCTTCGTCTGCCTTGAATTCATTTGTGTCGAATTCGTCTGCTCGACTCCGTCTGCTTCGACTTCGCCTGCTTCGGTCCTCGACTTTGCGACTTCGTCTGCCTCAAAGACTTCGAGTTTTCGTCTTCTCTGACATCGTCTGTTTGTTTCCTTGTGTTTTGATTGCTTCAACTGTTCCCTTTCGTTTATGTTCTTTGCTGACCTGTTTTTGTTGACTTCAGATTTTGTCCTAAAGTCGCACCTTTGTGATGGCCCCGGACCGAACGCATGCTACTATACTTGCGGGTAATCACGCCTCAGGTTCAGAGTCTGGTTTTGGTTTCGATAAGTCCTGCAATGTTCCACAATCCTTTCACGAGGCTTTTGAAGGCGCTGGTGATCACACTTTCATTAAAAAACTTGGTAAAAAAATGAGAAATCTGCTCTTTTTCTCTCTAAAGTTGAAACCAATACTCTTGCGTCTTCTTGGCGTTTTGCTCTATTGGGGAAATTCCTTTATGATCACTCAAATCTTCAGATCATTCGGAAAGATTTTGATGCTATGAAGCTATGTGTAGTTTGAATATTGGCTTACTTGATGGCCGACATATAGTTATTCAATTATCTCACGATGTGAATTACACTCGTATTTTTTTCTCGTAAGGTAATCAATATCGACAATTATAAAAATCCTGAAGTAG